GGGGGGGGGGGGGGGGGGGGGGGGGGGGGCTGACAGCAGCTTCTTGCAAGAGTTTCGAAGAGGAGGCCGTTTAGGGGCCTTAAGAGGATAGCATAGGTCTCCTTTTAAGAAGGTTCTACTAGGGCTACTACACGCGTGCAACATTTGCAAGGAGGAGCTATAGGGAACGGTTTTGCTAATTTGCTCTACCTGCTAGCAGAAAGTCTAATGAAAGACTGTTTCCATGCTATGTCCGGCTTCTTCCTCCTTAAGGGTCCATGTGCCCAAACGGTATNNTATATGCTTTGGCCTTAAAGTAATCCCTATATAAGTACTTTAGGGCCAAAGTCTATACTATTTGGGTACATGCACCCTTCAGGCCTCCGCATAATTAGCAAAATCAGCTTAAACCGACAGCCTTTCCAAACCGGATGCGCGCCTTTTCGCACCATAGCCTGCATCCCCTCCATAAACCGCGCTTGTGGCAGGTGGTTGCAGAGGCTGGCGCTTAAACAAGCCTGGACCAGCTGCTTCGGGGAAACACCCGACCTGGTGGCAGCACGAAGGAAAGCACGTAGCAGCGGAAAGCAACGTTTGGCCAAGCAAAGGCACAGCCTGGTTGCATGTGCGACACCTGGGAGAGTGCTTGGTGCATGCGGAATGCTTCACGGTTCCTCTCCAAGAATGCATCGATCTGCTCTCCTAAAACGAGTTCGTCCTCCTCGAAACGGATGCCATGCACCACCGAAAAGCGTTGAAGGCTAAGGTTCAACTTGCAGGCTTCCACAACTGCATCCACCTCCTCCGAGCTGAGACTGACCTTACTTGTCCGGTTTCTTTGGGGAAGCTTTGGTTGACGCTGCTGCATTAGCTATTGTACAAAAATGCCAAAAAGTAGAGGGTTTAGGGTTTAGGGTTTATAGGGTATAGATTGTACTACCCTAAGCCCTAAACCCTAAACCAAGTAACAGAATCCACAACCTCCAGTTCCATGGTCCTCAAAGCTGAATTCTCGCGTAGCAGGTCCGCCAGTGACTGAAGATGCTGTGGACCCGCCCAGGGGATGCAAAGATACAGCGACGAAACCGTGGAATTCCTCTTGCTCGTCACGTTTCATAGACCCTAAGGGTCCATGTACCCCAATAGTAGAACGTTGGCCCCAAAGTACCTATATAGGGACTACATTAAGGCCAATGTTCTACTATTTGGGTACAGGACCCTTAGGGAGAGTATTATAACTGATTAACCTTTGGGGTTATCTCGGGATTCTACTACCCCAAGCAGGTTAAAGTGGTTAAAGGCTTGCTGAAATCTTAAGCCCAAAAATGTCTAAACTTTTAGTTTCATATGGGGGTAACACGATCCTTCAAGGTCTAGTGTGCCCATTTCAGCTTACCTAATCCCTAACTAAACCCTAACCCCTGAACCCTCAACGCTTATTATAGGGTTTAGGGTAGAGGGGTTTGAGGGTAGATACCCTAAACCCTAAACTCTAACCCCGAAACCCCAAGCCCAAAATCCCTAAAACCCTAAAGCCCTAGAGCCCTAAAGCCCTAAAGCCCTAAAACCCAAAACCCTAAACAATGCTTACTAGTACTGCTGATGGACAAAATTCTGCATGACCCAAATATAGTATAGTAGCATAAATCCCATAGTTTAGGTATATAAGGTCATGCCGGATTTTGTCCATCAACCCTTACTAGCCCTAAGGGTCCATGTGCCCAAATAGTATCTATGTTGGTCCAAAAGTACCTATATATAGGGACTACTTTTATACTATATGAGCACATGGACCCTTAGGGTTAGGGATCCTACGATAGTTTAAGGTATAAGCCTTACCTTCTTAGGGTTTATAGTAGCCAGAGATTAAAAACTATTTCTAAGATTTCTATGTACCCCTAAACTCAAACTAGACCCTAAACCCTAAACCCTAAACTTAAAATTGGCCCTAAACCCTAAACCCTAAACCGTGGGCATGTCCTCCTCAGAGCATCCACCAAGGCGAGAATGGTGGAGTCACACCGAGGCCTCCTCCGGGTTAGGGTTTGGGCTTTAGGGCTGTAGGGTCTTAGGGCTTTAGGGGGTTTTAGGGTCTTAGGGCTTAGGGCTTTAGGGTTTTAGGGTCTTAGGGATTTAGGGTCTTAGGGCTCTAGGGTCTTAGGGTTTGAGGGTTTAGGGCTTTAGGGTTTTAGGGTTTTAGTAAAAAAAATAGGGCTTAGGGTCTAGGGTTTAGTGTTTTAGGGTTTCGGGGGTTAAAGTTTAAGGCATACAGCAACAGTCTAAAATAGGGCTACTAGTAAGGACCTTCTGTATCTATATCTACTATTGTGGAACTGTTAGTGAGCGGGGCAGTATCCACCTCAACCCTTTGCAGAAACCCTGATAGATCCTTCGAGGAACTTGAACCGGGACCCCTAGTTTAGACAACTAATCCCAAACCACATGCAAGCCCCAATACCCTAAACCCCAACGAAACCACCGGAAGGATCTAAACCATAGATCCCATAAGGAGGCTCCTTTAAAGTACCCCTTCGTAGTATAGGGTCCACAAATTAGGGGATCTACTTGTTGGATCGTTCCCGCGGTCTGGGTAAACCCTAAGCCGTCAAGAAACCCTAAACCCTAAACACTAGACCCTAAACCCTAAACCGTGGGAAACCTTAAATGCCAAGCCCTAAGCCCTAAACCCTAAGCCCTAAGCCCGAAACCCTAAATCCTGGGTTGAAGGAGCCCCAGCTGGATTCCAAGTGCCTCAGGGGCGGTTTAGGGTTTAGGGTTTTTTTGGTTTAGGGTTTAGGGCTTAAGGTTTAGGGTTAAATTTAGGGTTTCCCAGTTTAGGGCTTCGGGTCTCTTGGGTAGGGTCTAGGGTTTAGGCGGAGTTCATCATGTCACGGGCAGAAACCTTTTGATGTCTTCTTGTGTTGTTTCCAAAAAGGCTGGTATAAGAGACAACAGGTTGAACAATCTACTAAGGAAAGTTGCTCTCAGCAATGTTGTGGAGGGATCATCATCGGAAAGTCGCGAACCACCCTCCCTGCAGGTAAGCTCCGCCTTACAATTCTTCCAGCTGTCCGGGGTTGTCGCTTTCTCTTCCTCTGCCTCTTCCGATTCAAGAAGTAGCTCTGCATCTAGCTCTGCATCTACCTTCAGTGGCGAGCCGGAAGAACCTTCCGAAACTTGTATCTCGATGGTTTGTTGCAAACCACCTTGGCTGACTTCTGAACCCCTCCTAAAAGTTTAAACTCTCAGCCAATTTAGTATAGTCCATCTAGAAACCCCAAAAAGTTAAAGTCCTAAGAGCCAACCAGAAGAACGCCAAGTTCCCCTAACCCGAAGGCTCTGTGTGGCAGCTTGAACCCTAAACCCAAACCCTAAGCCCTAAACTTAGGGATTCAGGTTTTAGGGGCTAGTTACACAAACACGCTTTCCGATAACCAAGCCACCAGCTTCCGGAGAGCTTGCCAGGACAAGTACTTTCAGCTCCGCGCAGCTTCGGACACCCAGGACTGCACTCAGGGTACCTTGGCTGACTTCAGAACCCCTCCAAAAAGAAGTTTAGGGTTTAGGGTTTAGGGTTTTAGGGTTTAGGGTTCTCCTTATTATAGTTATATAGAAACCCAAAAAGTTAAAGTCCTAAAATCCAACCAGAAGAACGGCAAGGTACTCTCGCGAAGCCCGGTAACCAAATCCTGGAGCCGCACATGGACACTCGTCTGCTGCCCCATGGCAGCTCGAGACTTCGAAGGATTTTCCTATGCATTCAGGCATCCATAGATAGAGTTTTTGGGAGTTTCCGAGAATAAGGGGTACTTTATTTTGGGGTCCTTATAATGAGGATCCTACTATTTAGAATATTATAGGGTTCCCCTATTTTCGGAACCCCCCCATATAGCATTGGCCCTAAAGTCACTAAAGAGCAACCCTGTCAAGGCCAGGGCTTCGACGATATCATGATTTGTCTGCGCAAGGACCCTTACGGCATCATGCTGGCCTCAAGGTCTGCACCATGTGACAGCAAGCTGCATAGCCTGTCACGGCTACAAAGTACTGCAACGTCGATTTAGGATAGTTGATGAGGCATGCATTCGATAAAATCCTTCATTGCTGCGCAGGGCGTAGGTCAATGACAGTTGTAGCGCACCTGTGTAGTTGTCGTGCACTCCCGGTTACCATAAGGGTCCCTCGAACCAGTATATTTGGGCCCTAAGGTACCTATAGTAAGAGCCAGCCCTAAAGTACCTAAATAGGGACCACATTAAGGCCAAAGTATATACTATTTGGGTACATGGACCCTTAGGGGAAGGTACAGTAAAGTGAATTCCTGGCACGAATCCTCCTAAACCCATGTTCCAAATTCTGGGAGTCGCTGTAAGTAATCAGAAACCCTGCAGGCCAAAGCAAAAAATAGGCAGTCACTCAGGGTTTAGGGTTTAGGATTTTGGGGTTCAGGGTTTCGTGTTTAGGGCTTTCGGGTTTAGGGGACTTAGTATAAGTACAGTTTTAAATACCTTAACTGGGAGTGTTAATTCATTACAATATGAATACAAGCGTAGTTCTTTTATTTATAACCTTAGTTACGAAGTCCCATGAAAATTTATGTATGCATAGAACCTCACGTCCTTCCGGAACCTTAAACCCTAAACTGCGCTAAACCCTAAACCTTATAGGTCAAAGGACCTGCTGCGTTGCTGTTGCTGTCGAAAGCAGCGGCAGCAGCGGTGCGTCTGAAGAGGCTTCTTGTCCTACCCTGAACGATTTAGGGTTTAGAGTGAAGTACCCGAAACCCTAAACCCTAAACCGTTAGGGTTTAGGGTTTAGGATTTAGGGTCTAGGGTTTAGGGTTAAGGGTTTAGGGTTTTACGAAACCCTATACCCCAAACCCTAAACCCTATAGCCAGACCCCAACCCCTAAACCCTAAACCCTACGTACCATAAATGCCACATCCTAAAGTCCTGGGTGCCGAAATTCTGGCCTATAAGGCCCGAAGGGTCCAGGTACCCGTGTAGAAACGCCTTACAATTAGGCCAGAGACATATACGCCAGTATAATATACTGCTATATACCTCTAAGGGTCCATGTACCAAAAAGGGCTCCTTTTAAGGGTTCCTTTAAAGGGTTCTGCAAGGGTGCCATAAGGGTTTAGGGTTTAAGGGTCCATGTACCCAAATAGTATATACCTTGGCCCTAAAGTACCCCTTTTGAACCCCAAACCCTAAACCCAAAACCCAAAACCCTAAACCCAAACCTTAAACCCCAAACCTTACACCCTAAACCCTATATGGGAATTTCCGAAAATCAGGGGTTCCTGTTTTGGGGGTCCTTATGATAAGATCCTATTATTTAGGGTACTATATTAGGGTCCCCTGTTTTCGGAAACCCCCATATAGGGACTACATTGCAGCGACCCGAAGGGCAGACCTGACATGCTGGCCAGGGGCGTGTCCGAGTGCCCGTGGCACATGCAGATATGCTCTCCACAGCCGGCTTCGATCTCGATTGCAGCGGTTTAGGGTTTAGGGTTTAGGGTTTACGTGGATCAGGGTTAAGGGCAGTTTAGGGTTTTAGGGTTTAGGGCTTTAGGGCTTTTGGGTTTAGGGTTTTCGGGTTTAGGGTTTAGGGTTAAGGGCAGTTTAGGGTTTTAGGGTTTAGGGCTTTAGGGCTTTTGGGTTTAGGGAACCAGGGTGAGAAGGACAGTTTAGGGTTTTAGGGTTTAGGGCTTAGGGCTGCAATCCTGGATCAGGGTTAAGGGCAGTTTAGGGTTTTAGGGTTTAGGCCTTTAGGGTTTTAGGATTTTAGGGTTTAGGGCTTTTGGGTTCAGGGTTTAGGGCGTAGGTTAGACCCTGTAGAGCTGTTGCAAGCAGCTGAAGCAACCCAGAACAAGACGTGCGAAGCAGAAGCAACGGCGACAGTTCAAAGGACATGAACAACCAAATCATGTCTCAGGCGCACGTTGGAAATTGTCTGATGAGTCATGCTATGACTGTAGCGGCATGTCATGGTAAAAGTACCGACATACAAATCCCTTTAAGACCAAAGAACCCCAAACCCTAAACCCTTCCCTAAACACCTACCCTAAATTCTAAAGCCTAAATGGCGCCCTTTTCTCCCTTTTCCAGAGCAGGGCGACTAGCACATGTCTTGACTAAACTGGTGACCGAGTAACCGAATAGCCTTCCCAAGTGGAACATCTCAGGAACAGCTAAACTAGATGTGAATATCTTGTAGAACCTCGTCTACTTGCAAGAACCCCAAACCCTAAACCCTAAAACCCTAAAACCTAAACCCTAAACCCTAAAACCCTAAGACCCTAAAACCCTAAAACCTAAACAGCTGTGGAATTCGGGTACAGCGTTCAAGGAACCGAGGCTCGAGGTTTCTAGTGAAGCTGCGGCATCTTGGCGTCGCATTCACAGTGAACTTCGGGTTTGGGCTGTGGGGGTTTAGGGTTTGGGGTTTAGGGTTTAGGGGTTTAGGGTTTAGGGGGTCCCTTTTTAGGGCTTGGGGTTTAGGGTTTAGGGGTTTAGGGGTTTAGGGGTTTACGGGTTTAGGCATTCAAGATTAGCATAAGGTTTGAGGGTGATTGCGGACAATAGTCTGAGAATAGGGTTTGAGGGTATTCTATACCATGATTTTAGCAAGGAGCCCGCCAAATAGGATTGGTAAGTACCTATTTAGGCCCCCAGATTAGGCTGCTAGCCCATGTAAAACAACTCTAATACAAGACGGAGGCACTGTCGGAAAATACAAATCCTGGCCGTTGACTCGCCAGAAGTTGTTCTCGTCCACTTTGCCACAAAGAGTCGCCTGGTGCGTTGAGGGTTTAGGGTGAATCGGTGGCTTAACCCGCAGCTCATATCAGCAGTTAGACGGACCCTAAACCCTAAACCGAACCCCAAGCCCCGACTTCCGCTGCAATCTGCCTTCGGTCTGGGTTTAGGGTTCAGTTCTTGAGGGTTTAGGGTTCAGGGT